GCGCCAGCCCGCAGCAGGGCACCACCGGGGCCTCGGACAACCGCAGCTCAGTCACAGCCAGGGCATCGTGAGCATAATCCGGATCTCGGCTACCAAAGTGCACGGTCCTAGGTGCCGCGCTCACTTTTCAAGCTGCTGTCTGCAACCGTGTTACAAGGTTAAAGCCCTAGTCAAAAGCAAAATGAGATAAACAACACGGAATTGTAAATGAGTTAATTTAAGGAAACTGCCAAGGACTAGCATAGAGCTACAAGAAAACCGCACCTCATGTAATAGTATCAGCTGTCTTAAACCCATATCTTTGCTTTACAGTTACAAATAGCTCCAAAAGTTATAACATGGCATGTGCCTGGATCTTGTCTACAGGGCCACTGCGGAAGATTTAGGCTAAGGACTCAGCTTTAAGGATCACTTTTGAAAGGCCACCCGCAACATTTGGACTGTAACGCAAAAGACACTCGCTCTCTATATCTTACTTGGTTCAAGATTCCTTCATTCTCATGAAGGAAAGTAATGACTGGTCAGTGGTGAGATATTCTGTATTTATTCTATAATTCAGCAATAACAGTAATTTTGCTGTTGTGAAAACACAATAACCAAACTGCAGAGAGAAGGAGCGGCAATACAGATTTAAACCTCTGGCTTACAGATATCCAGAACACATGAAGTAAGTTTCAATTACTAAGTAAGCAAAAAGTTACACAAAGAGGCTTTTCTTTAATGCATCTTACGTTTTCTTTGCTATTTTTCCTGGCACTATGACTTCACTACTTTGATGCTCACACCTTTTTTAAAAGAAGTTTCACTATGATGGTAAACAATACTTCAGTGGAAGGGACTATGCTGTCCTCTACGGAAAGATGCATTAAAGTCATGTCCCATTAAACATCTTGACTAGGTTTTATACATGGAGAAAAGTTAAAAAGAAAATGAGCAGAAAGACGTAAGGGGAGACTAGAATGGATTAGATAAAAATGGTCTTTGTCGCAGTTTGTTTTTCCAACACAGCTGTTTGCATGCACCATGCTATTTTATATGTGGACTTCCGAAAAAAGATGATTTTCTTCATTAACATTAAGGAGAGCTAGAAACGCATGCTGTAATACAGTAAGGCATTGCATTATAGTTAATGACTACGTTCGATAGAGAATGCTGCACATCATTAACTAATGCTAAGCTGCAGGGGAATTCCAGGAAAAACAGGTAAGCCAGCTGTAGAAATATCAAACACTTTAAAGTGCCGTAAGAATAAATGGAAATTGCCTGAAATAATTTCCACCAATTTTTCCTTGGAAAAGAATTAACATGTGCATGCATAATGTGGACTGTATTTTACATTCATTCTTTTGCAGGCCGGAAAAAAAAAAAAAGCAATGCCCTGTCAGCATCATTTAAAAATTCACACATACAAGCAACGGTACAGGAAAAACAAGCCTGCTTTTATAAATACACAAAGCAAAGAAAAAGCCTGTTGTGGAACAATTTCTGGAGCAGGTTGGTTCATCACTTAGGAAGTTGGTAAGTCATGTTTTTCTATTCAAATTCCTACATCATGACCCACAGAGTCAAGGCTGCCCCAGTCTGGGTCTCTCGTATAAAGCGTGCATTAAGATAAGTAGGCACGTAACAATACCATTCTCTGCAGTATAAATGGAGTATTTCACCAATAGAAAAAGTTTCTCCCTTGTTAGAAAGATCGCCATCCCCTATCATGGACAAACTATATCTCAAGGCTGCTCACAGCATAGCAAGGCAAAATTCACTGTGTTTTTCTACACTACATTTATTTAAAAGCCTTATGAAAAAGTAATTTTTATAAATAGTACAAAGAAGGAAACCACAAGGCTTCAAAAGCCCTAAGAGTTCGCCTGTCCATATAAAAACACAGACTGTAGTTTAGAGAAGGTATCGGGTCAAACGTTATCTGAACCTAGGGCATGTATACCAATATATATATAGGTTTTACAAATACATAACACCTCTAGAACAGCTTCCATGAAACAGCAGTGGATAGTTTAAGATGCCCAGAGTTGTCATTATCCCCAGCTACTGCTGTGTGAGAACTTCCAAGCAAGATTAATTAGCAGCTGACTAGTCTCCTTCTCCTAACTGAAGGACATATGCATAGAAATAGCTCTAATTATTGTCAGTTGTAATAGCTAGATCTTATGATGTGTAACACTTCTAAGAACGTTTTAAAAGTAATTCTGAACCTGACGTTGTCCCTTTACAGTGGGAATGACCTTAAATTTACTTAACTACAACCCTAGGAATCATTGGTGTTGTTATTCTAGGAGCATTTCCTGGCTCAAGAGTTGTCCAGGGTTTGTTTGTTTGGGTTTTTTGCCAGTTCAGTACACCTCTTATTGAAGCTCGTTCTAGAGATGAAGTCCCCAAACGATGAAGACAGAACAGTCCTTCCCTCCCACCGCTGTCGCAGGTCACGCGGACACGCTCTCTGCCAGAGCAACCGCGTACGGCACGGTTCTGTCCGTGGGGAGGCAGAGGCAGGAAATCCCACCTTGGGCGCTCAAGAGGACTCCTAAAAGATTTCTTATTGCATTTATTCGCTCAGCTTGAGTTTGATTCCCCCCCCCATCTCTTCCTAAAGAGTGACCTTAACTATTTATGCAGGACGCTGGATTTCTTTCAGACGTTCAGCCGAGCAGAAGTTCACCAGCGCTACTCTTCCGTCACGTCACGTCAGTCAAAAGGAAATAAATACACTCTATCATTTTATTGCCCCAAAGGTAAAAAGCTAGGCGGGATCACAGGGAGGTAAGAGTCTGTCGTTAGTAGCTCTCTGGCTGCGCGAGCGTGGGCAGCGCTGCGGCCCTCGCCCC